ACTAAGGGCTGTGCTTGGATGTAGCGCACAGCCTCACTCCCCCATGAACACACCCACTCCCACTTCCACACGCCCAGCAACATTCACATAGAGCCGTTCCCTAAGCCTTGATGCCATTTCATGTTCCGTTTGTTGTTGGCTGCAAAATGCAGTTGATGATACCCTTTCAAAGGGTATCTCTGAAGAAGGATATGCTAAATGTTTCATATATTTTCGAGAACGAATAGTTGTGTCATCAGGATTCCCATTGCTTATGCTGTATGCTCACCGGAGGAATCATTTCAATTCATATTTCCTGCAAAGAATGGCACCCATTAATATTTGTTTTCCAATTTTAAAGGGCATGCCAGAGAATTCCTTCTCAAACATAGCATTTCTCCTTGCCCTGTTCTGCATTTTTTGTTGCCAATTGTTGTTGCACTTTTGTTCATTTCTCGCGGAAAAGGCAATGCATAAAAATAAGTACAGTCCACTCCCCACTCCTCATTCCCAACATCCCTTACCCTGTAGCTGCACCTGCACCAGCACCTACGTACGCATTCGCTTTTTACTTGCAACAAACATCGGCAACAACAGCAAAGTTTCAACTGGCCGCCCGTGCTACCCTCCACACCCCTCGCTACTGTGCGTATGGTGCAAAAAATAAAATAGAAATTTCAGCGGAAACGCTAAAATTTTATAATAGCGCACACGGGGCGTATGACTGTTGCCAGTTGCCAGTTGCCATGGCCAGCGGCGGCTTCAGCTGCAGCTACAGCACAAACTGACGATGGTGGAACATTTAGGTGGAAAATATGCAGATGATGAAAGAACAATGGAGTGCCACATTTACTGGGAAAATAAAAAAAAGATGTTCACCGGGGAAGATATCGGCAAGGATCAAGGATTTGGATTTAGGTGAAAAAAGCTCCATTGGGGTAATGCTAACGCAACCATTTCCCAGCTCTTGCCGTTCTTATGGTTCTCATCAGTTCAATGACAATAGTGATAACCATCAGGGATGGGATCTATAAATCTATGCACAGCTTACCTAGCCATAATCCCCATTTTGGACCATCGCACTAAGCCTGTTATTACCTGATTCATCACACGCCCTTTGGTGAGCCTTTTTCGAGCGCCGAACATATATATATCATGCCCACGCACTCCCCACAAGTACCAGAGTCATATACAAATCCTATGTAAATAGATACCAGGCACAAATATCACCTATGTATATCCCTTTCAATATTTCATATATACGCTCTTATTTGCTGAGAGCTATACCACCCGAGCACACCACTGCCCCCTGTCCCCAGGCTAAAGCCGTGACTGGTAACTAATTTGACACTACCCCGTCGGGTCCAACCCATACCCTAACCCATACCCAAACTGATTCTACAGATTTTTTCTATGTTTCAATTTATTTTTTTCACTGGAACATGTCCCCCACCCAGACGCAGTGTATGGGAAAGGCTGCAACGCCACCCAAAAAATTCAACATCCATTTTGTCCCGTTCTCTTTTGTAATTGCTTTGACCAGCGCGGTGCAGCGTGAATGTAATTTTTTTAGGGGGCTGTTTTTCTATATATTCTATAGTTGTGCATGCATTTAGTGCATGCGAGGGATGATGCCAGTGGAAAATGCATTGGAAATGTCCCTTTTCTGTGGTAGAGGAAAGTGTCTGGATTCCACTGGAATGCTAGTAGAAATTCGACGTAATGTGTGGGACAGTGCTCTACCAGTGACCAGGTGCAAGACTTAAGGTTACCCCAGGGCTATCCTACTCTCCTCCGTCTGTCCTTGCAGTGTCTCTTTCTCCTATCGCAATTTACCTGCAATCCACAATCTACGGACACAACTCCCCAGTCAACTTTCTAATCAAACGGAGAAAACCAAATGGCAATTTGTAGCAGCTCAAGACAACTCCTCAGCTCCTGTGGCGGCGACTTTCAGTTTCTTTTAGCCAAGCCCCTTGGCCAGTGGTAGTGGCAGTCAGCATTGGCTATTGAAAAGACAACCACATGAATAAGAGGAAAACGTACAAATTTTCCATTAATTAAAACGATACAAGGCAAAGATGGAGATGGAAATGGAGATGGAGGGAGACAGTTACTGGACGGAGTAAAGTGGACAAAGACATTTTTGTGAGTCCAAAGCTGAGACGCAACCGGAACTACTCCGTCGGGAGTCTTTCGGACTTAACATGGGGTCTGGGGATGTGTGTTGCTCTCGAGCTTCACTCCCGCTCCCGCTGCTAGTATCGTCTCAGCTCCTTTTGCATGAGTTAAGCTCGGGGTTCATCCAGGGCAACCTTGACTTTGCCCGCAGCTGCCATGGGGGGAAGGTCCTTGCTTTGCGAATAATTTGTTCTGAGGCTGACAGCAGAGCAGCCCACAAGGCGTATGAGTAACACCTGCAAGGCAGAGCAGCTCTCACACCCACCCGAATGCATGGGGTTATAAATCCTAGCATTTATTTCCATTTGCCACAACATTTTCTCGACTCGACTCGTTTCGTCTCGTCTCCGAAATGGGGAAAGTTGCTTTTGAAGTCTCACACAAATTTGTAACCCTTTTGCGGCAGTGGGCCTGAAAGTATTAGAGGAGGGCCGTGAAGGAGTATGGTGTAGGTGGGGAGTCTCTCTGAATGTCAGAAATATGCGGGCTTGTGGCATCTTACAAGTAAAGGCTTTGGCATCAGGACAGCAGCAGGAGCAGGATCGGGAGGAGGAGAATGGAGTTCAATGCAAAAGGCAACCCAAAACTAACAAACGTGAGGTGATGGGATGGAGGATGAACATGTGCCTGCCCCAGCTCCTTCCCGTGCCCCTGCCGGTGACTGCGCCTAAAAGCAGACTCGACTCTGACTTCGACGGCGTCTGGGGCACACCACTACAATGCCAACAGCCTCTAAGCACACGCATAATGAATTACCACCGAGCCAGGAATCGTCCTTCTCTGTCTCCTTTCCGCCTGGGCTTGTGCTTGTGCTTGTGGCTGAGCTAGTGCCTCTGCTTCTGCTTCTACCAACTGCCGATGACATATTTCTCCAGACGAGGCTGCATCTCCATCCCCTCCACAAAAGCTGCGCCTAAAAGGCAGCTAAGAAAATTTGCGTTTAACTCATAAGTGCGTGAAAGGGTTGCCGTTGCCAGACCCCAGACCCCGACTCTAGCAGCCCCCATCCCCATCCCCATTCCCATCCCAAGCCCAGAGTAGAGTCCCAAGTCTCAGCCAAGCAACATCCTTTGCCATGGTGCTGCCTCTGTTCCCTGTCAAGGAAATTGTAGTTTAAATGAAATGGAAGTTGCTTTTATCAACGGGGTAGGAGGAAGGTTGCGGGGGCTTAAGGTCTCGGATTGGGGCTGTCTTGGGGTTGAGGATTGGGGAAGGGGAAGGCAGGTGGGGTTAGTATGTGTGAGCTTTCTTAGAAGTTCGCTTTCTGTGTGTGCCATGTGTGTGCGTGTGTGTGTGTGTGGTTGTCGTATATAAATTAAAATGCCTAAACATATGCATTAGTTTTTGTCTCGCTCCCACTCTCTCCCCAATATCAAGCAGTCCTTGGCTTGGCTATGTGCAGGGGTTTGGGGTAGCTCCAAAGTTTTTGTGGTTACGACATTGGTTTTCGGGGGAGGTGGATGCTTGAGACAGGCCCAGAAAGGGTATGGGCGGGTGGCAACTGTCAGTCTCGAGTCTCGACTCTCGAGTCTCCAGCCCCGAGTCTCGGGCTCGAGCTGTGGCCTGACAACTTAGTCTAATGAGAATTCAAATTCGAAACCCAGCTACGCAATCGTGCTGAAGAAATTAAAAGAAATTGCACATGATGTGTTACGACAAGTGCTCTCTCTCTCTCTCTCTCTGTCTTTCTCTGAGTGTGGCTGTATGTGTGTGTCTACTGAACAGCACAATATATAGGTGTGTGTGTGTACGAGAAATAGAACAAATATTTGATTCACTCTCCGAGTGAGGAGGGAACCCTGGCAGCAGACTCAAAAATATTTGCTCAAATTCGGGTCCAGGCCCGCTCCCAAAGAAGTTCAAAAGTGCAATGAAATTTTATGAGGCCTGATGCAAGCGACCTCGGTAAGTTGTCATATGAAAATTAACTTATAAATAAACTGGAACTCAACTCCGAGAGAGTACAGTTGTCGAAGAAAGGTTGTGGATGTCTATCCTCAAGCCCTTTCCTTCCTCGGAAACCCTCCACAAATCATTCTCTCGAGCTGACCTCCCATACGGCCCCCAGAGATTCTGCAAATTAATGTTAATTAAGAGCTGGTGCCGATGCTATGCTTTTCCTTCCTGTCCCAGACCATTCTACATTTCAGGGAAAAAGAAAGCTGCCTCAATCTCGACGGCCATCCGCACGGAACGCAGCTTCATTTGCGATTGTAGTCCGAGCCCCCCTCCCTCACCCAACCCACCTAACCAGTGTCCTTCAACCACAAGCCAAAGGAGTGTGCGGGAAAAAAACCTGGGCTTTGCCGGTGCCGGACGACCAACGTCTTGGGCCAGCTAGCGAAATGTTTCATTAGAGGCAAGTTAGCCGCAAATGGCAGGGACACCACCCAGCAGCAGCAGCCCCTTGCCGGACCTTGCCAGATCTTGCCCCATCCCTCGACTAATTTACAGTACACAAAAGGCAGGCAGTGAAAAAAGGCAACCCCAAGATTGGACAGCAAAGGAAAAAGGAAAGGAGACAGAAAACAACTGGCCCCTGAAGATGAAAGTCCAGAAAACTTTCCCTCAATGCTGGGTTGGATTGGGTCTTGGTCTGGGTCTGGTCTGGGCCTGGGCCTGAGTTTTGGTTGGGTTGCCCGACTCCGAAAGCTTTCTTTGACGTTTCTTCTTTTTCCGCATTCTTTTGAATGGTCTAACGAACTTCAAACTGGTTCTTCTTCTAATCATTGGGATTTGGCATATCGAACGCAGTCCCAAAACTTTGTGCGGTCTCTCGAAAGTTCCCCAAAAAACGAACTTCCACTCATCTTTCTCTTCCCATCTTTTCGTTCCCACAGGAAACCATACCAGCAACACCGGCCACGAACACCGACACAACCAGCACGGTGGTCGGTGTGGGCGGCGGCGTCGGCGCAGGTCTCGCTGGAGGAGGAGCAGGTGGCGGTGGAGGCCTCCTTGGCACCGGCGGGATCCTCGGCGAAGTCGTCAGCGGCCTGGGCGGAGGAGGCGGCAGCGAGTCGGAGGCCTATGCGGGCCTAATGAAGGACGCAGACAAGCTGAAGCTGATGCTCCTGGCTTGGAACTACCAGAACTCGACGGCGGTGCGTAACGGGACCGAAGGGCCAGACCTCAGTGTTGTGGGTGGGCTGTGGGCCCAGTACCAGAACGCGCTCGCCCAGAATGCGGCTGCAGCCGCGGCGGCCAGTGCCAAGATGGACAGCTCGCTGTCCCCAGTGCCCCGACAGGACACACACTCGCCCATGGAGACGCAGGACGAGACAAACTCCTCCGGGCAGAAGGAGGAGGATGAGGTTTCCGAAGACGACTCCGATGACAAGCTGGACGAGAAGCTGGCCACCACACACGATCCCGAGCGCCTCAAGGCCTTCAATGTGAGTAAAGCGAGAGCTAGAGCGAAAGAGAGACTTTTCTCTTTCTCTCCGCGTGAGCAGCGAATGTAAAGCAAAGCGTTGCCAAGAAGTCGCCAGAGAACTGGTCACCGAGAACGATATAGATTTGCTGGAACGGCTCTTTGTTGCTTTCAGATGTTTGTGCGGCTCTTTGTGGACGAGAACCTGGACCGCATCATCCCCATCTCGAAGCAGCCAAAGGAGAAGATCCAAGCCATCATCGATTCGTGTGCTCGACAGTTCCCCGAGTTCAGCGACCGCTCCCGCAAACGCATCCGCACCTATCTCAAGTCGTGCAGACGCAATAAGAAGACCCGCGACGGATGGGAGAATACGGTAAGCTTAATCGAAGTAAGTTTATACCCGGAAATCGCAGGGTATCAGATTTTCCTCTAAAATTATGCAAACTACTTTACTGATCGAGTGTTCTCAATCTGTACTCCCGTCCGTCTGTTTGTTCACGGAGAGGATCCCGGAGACAATAGAACATGTGAAATCAGCCATGCTCCGGTTATCGCAAATAGCCAAATCGCAAGATTCTTACGATTAAAATCCGGTTGGTTGAGCTTGCGAACGATTTCAAGAATGAATTGCACACAGCACATAACATAAATACAAATTTGTATGAGCGCGAAAAAGATAGAAGCATATTTTTATAACTGTACACTTATTTACGTAAATCATCATATATATTAAACATATTTAATAAATTTATTTCTTATCACATCTCAAATTTAACTTCACCTAAAATAAACCAATACTACATATAATTGCGAATTACCGTTGACAGATAAAATATTGATATCAATAGTTGGCATGGGCTACCGACGTTGTTCCGTAATTGTCGAGTTTCTTGTTTTCTTTTGGTTCAATTGAATGCGATAAGATATTTCAATCTGCAAAAAAACAGCTTTTTTTCAAGTAAAATCCAAACAGTTTGGGAACACTATCGATAGCAAAAAATTTGCGAAAACCGGAGCATGACCGAATGTATTTATATGGTAATTTTTGAGATTTATATGGTAGCTGATTCAAAATGTAATGGGTTGATTTACTCATCATTGAATTCCAAATTTCGAATTGATACAGTTTTGAGTCCGAAATACCCAGAACTCTTTTCCAAAGAATTTCTACTGATATTGTTTCAAATAGGCTACTGATAGTTAAGGAAAGCTGCTTAAAAAGTCACCGAACGTAACCCTTTTGCACTGTTTTTGTTACAGACCAGACCAACCCCTGCACATCTCACGTCCGTGCAGGCGGAACAAATCCTGGCCATTGCCTGCGAGAACGAATCGATGAATGCCAAGAGGATGCGCATCGGCCTGGAGCCCATCACCCACGCGGTGCCGGCTCCGGGTAGCGCCGTTGCGGCAGCGGCTGCGGCAGCTGCGGCTGCTGCCGTTGTGGCTGCTACCAGCTCTGGTGCCGGCGGAACGAGCACCACGTCCGCGGGCAATGCCACCGTCACCTGCGGAGGAGCAGGAGTCGCGGATGCCACCGGCCTCACAAATGTGGCGGCCGCTGCTCTGCCCTTTGTCAGCGCCGTGGGCTTTGCCCGCTCCACACCGAACTCGGAGCATGCGGAGGCGCTGCCCTTCGGTGGGGCAAGCAATGTGGGTGGGAGTGCGGGAGGCGGCAGTACCAGTGGAGCGGAGGTAAGCTGTTTTCCAACACTTTTCCCCAGTTAGGGATATAGTATATGTAAAAAAATATAATTTTTAAGCAATAGCCAGTCAGGTTAAGCCGCAGAAGCGCATAGATCCATGCATAGATCCTCGCATAATGTATCTTGGCCCAAAGCCGTGATCTACCAGCCTCTGGCCATTTGGAAATATAAAATCTTAAAAAAACGTCTAAATCGTCAAGAAAATCTTGACCCTCTATGTAGGGTATATCCCATTCCGTTTTATCCCGTTCCATTATTGTCAGTTTAGATGTAAAAAATTTCGAAGGTTCCTGGCAATTCGTGAAATTTGGTTGGCTGTAAATGAATATGAAAGTATTTTAAGTTGGAATAGCAATCCATTCTTGATAGCGGCTTGTTGTATTGCCTTATACATGACTTATACAAATTACTTATATCAGAATACATCATTTCAGAGCCAGCACCATCACATTCATGGACAGCCGCTGATGCAGAGCAACTGTTCAGCGCGCAGCTCTCCATTGGCCCTCAGCTCGAATGCCAGCGTGAGCGGCGGGGCAAGCGTGACCGGCCTGACACTGGCCAATGGGGCTGTGGCCTCGAATGGGGCTGGCCTCCCGCCCACCAGCTACCCCGGCTACTTTCCCGGGGTGGCTTCCCTGGGTAATGGTGAGTAGCAGATTGAGTAAATTGAAGGAATCAAACCAGAGTCTCATTTCGTCCATTCCGTTGCAGTGACGCCCACCGATCTCTCGATGAAACCGACCTCCCTGGGCTCCGGTGTCAGCGGCAACCTTCTCAGCAGCAACAACGGAAATATCTCCGTGGGCGGCGCCATCAACTCCCAGCTGAGTGCCGCCAACCTGGCCACCCTAAGCAACGCCAACACCAATAGCGCTCTGGTGACCGCAACCCAGCAACTGCAGCAGCTCCAACAGCAACAGCAACAACAACAGCAGCAGCAACAGCAACAACAACAGCAGCAGCAGCAACAACAGCAGCAGCAGCAACAGCTCCTGGCCAGCTCCGGGGGCGGTCTCGATGGGCAATCCTCCCGAGCGCCGCCTATTCTTCCGCACAAGCTGAGTCCCAACGAGGTGTCCGCAGCCCGCCAGGTGATATCCGCATACCGTGAGAGCGCGGCCTTTCTCCTGCGCACCGCCGACCAGGTGGAGCAGCTGCTGGTCCAGCAGCAGTAGGCGTGGCCGGGGGCGCACTCAAATTTCCAGGACCCAAGCGATGCCAGGCGCGCACGGGTTGTTCCTATTTAAAATTAAATTTAAATTCAATTACACAAAAAACTGACCCACTCACCCCACACACTCTCGCGCCAAACTAAACGAAATAGTCAAAGCATAGAGCAAAACGAAGGAGCAACACAGGAGTAGAAGGAAGAGGATCAGGAGAACAGGAGAGCAGGAAATAGCCAAAGGAAGTTCGTTTAAACAAAACATTTTAAGTGTTTTTTCCTCCAACTACGTACAGAATATTAAAATAGAATTAAACGATAAACAAAAACCAAAACAAATATTGAAAATATCACAACAGTAAAAATAGCAGAGCTGCTCCAGCCATCTGATTGCGTCTTATACGAAGCTCCCATCTTGGAATATGTATTTCAGAACTGTAAAATCTCAGGCTTGGCGATCGTCTTAAATAGCATGAAATAGCCCCATTTACTATTCCATTCGATACTACCGAATAAATTTGACCGGCAAAACAGATATATTATTTCATGGTGAATATACTAACATTTGCTTTAGACACTTAAGAATCGATTACAATATTATAACTTCCAAGCGTTTTTCTTTTTACATGCTGCATGTTTAGTTCGTTACTCTCAGTAAAGGTTTTTTGATAGCCATATTTAAGACCAGACCTAGAGCAGATTTATTATCGTCATTTAGTCGTCCGTTCTTTATCTCGATATCGACCTAAGTTTCGAGAAACGGACATATGTAGATGATCCACTACCAGCGAGACTCATGCATATAAGAGGCATATCAGCTAGCTGGGCAGCTCTAGTAAAATAAACCCAAGCAACAGTTCAACGTACTACAGTGTCTACTAAAAGTAAAACTACAATAGCCACACACAAACACTCGCATTGATTTTGTTTAAACTTTTGATTTTTGAATATTTTTCGGACTCTTCCCTGTGGGGAGCCGCGATTTCCGGGCCCGTTTTCGATGAGCGCGATTTGTTAAAAATGAAAAAAAAATAATTAATAAGTTGAAGTATTGTTGTACATTTTAAGGATACAAAAAACATTTTAAGGAAAACAAACAAAAAAAATACGAAAAACTATGAGAAAACACAGGGTGATACTTTGAAAAATTATTACAATGCATAAGCTAAAAATTAAAGAAATGAAAAGGGAAAAAAGAAAATGTAAAAAATGAACTCGAAACAATTGAATAGAAGTTGGTAAATGTGTATTTAAAGTTTAGCTATGTTTCCAGTTTCTTGAGTAATAATGTCCCTCAGTTCGACTGGTTTACCTTCCATTAGGTGTATATATTTTGAAATTTTAACCTTTTGAGTTTTGCTGTTGCTTTTTACTCACATTCGATTATGGAAGTATATATACCAAATAAAGTAATTAAATAAAAAATAGCCATTCATGTTTTTGCAACTATAAATGTGCATGTAAAAAAACCACACACACAAAAACACAGTGGAACATCGGAACGTGAGGAAACGGAAACCCTCAATGGAAGATCGCTATGGAAGGCAGATTATAGAATTTAATAATATAAATAAATTGCTACAATTATTTAACCAACAGATAATTATTGACTAAACCAAACTAAATAAATATCCAAAGAACTTGATCAAGGCGCGGGATATTTATGAAGAGTACTTAAACGTAAAACAATGAGCGGCATTCGCTGAGAAGAGTAAACTAATTAAACCAGCCCGAACAGAGGAATCACCAGTGGAAACAAGACAACATTTTAAAAATCGATTTAATAAAGAATTTATGAGAATTATATGTACATTAAAAACCATTGTATTTGTTGTATCCAGAAATATCATACGGTTATGGTGACAGTATTTTAAACCTAAACAAATTTACTTTACACTTACTGGTCAATTTTATTTGCCTTTTGAAAGGACATTGAAAAGGGTATGAAGTTTTTTGAATATTATCGCATCATCAGAATGTGTTTCGATCACAAAAAGAGAAGCTGAGAAGAATCAAGACTCTTCCTAAGACTCGTGGATGGATATAGGCCGGATATAAGGCGAGGATCGTCCACGACGCTGGCTGCCTTTAAACGCCTTCTGGCGTTTGAAAGGCACTGTGTAAAAATATGTAACTTCAATTTCTAGTGTGTAATACTTTAGTTACAAAAAATTTTGTTTACATTTTTGCAGCCTCCAGCAAAACCGTTCTTTCTTACCATTTTCTTTTCCTCATCGTGTTCCAATCAACAGGCTCGAGAGAGATGCTCTCTTATGCCCTCTCTCCGAAAACCGTCTCTCAATTATACAATTTTCGAATTGCAAATAAAGGTATTTTATATTTCGTTGCCAATTGAACAAAAAAAAATATCTATAATTTACAAGACATATAGGAAAAACAGAACGGTATGTTTTTAACAGCTAGATTGACCCTTGTCCGTTGGGCAGCGACTTTATAAAGGTTTCAAAGTCGTCGTTCTGGCTATTTGCAACTTCGACTCTACAAGGCCAATTCGCGACCGCTACAGTATGTGGCCAACAATTTCCCAATGCTTTGGGACATAGTTCCATTACAGTGTACTACAAAATATTTATGATACAAAAGCTAAGCATCTTTGGCAAAATTAATTAATAATCGAATCTGGATCTGTACCGATAAGTAAACCATGCAATAGTTCAGGTGGTGTTTTAAATTAATTTTTTAAATAATTTAATTAATTTAATTTAATTTGTACATTTCCTGATGAGCAACACATCCCAACTGGCTCATTTTTAAGTTTAAGTGCATGTAATACCAATAACCTCTTTAGAATGAGCATAATATACAACATCAGGGTCATGGAATGCTAGTCGAAGAAATAAATTTGATGTAAATGCTCGATTAAATTGTTAGCGCTTTTGGTCAATTCTTCCACGTTTGTTGCGTTGTTGTTCAATTCCTCTACGTCTGTCGACCTTGTATGTACATATCTGCGCTTTACACTCCGTTCTAGTTGCCTTTGTTGATTTCGTTCCTCTCGGGCCTCTTGCGATTGTGATTCACGAAATCGCGCCATGCTCACACGCTCATTTGCTCATCGTTTGACGACTCAAATTGACCCCTCTGCTTCTTATTGGCATTGCTTAAATATATTAAATTCTCGGATTACTTTATGTGCTTTTGATTATAAGTAGTTTATTTTTAGATGTTTTCGCTTCCGAGATGAAACGAATAATGATTTCATATTCAAACCCCAGGACCGAATTTGTATTTCGGCCTACGGGAAAAAAAAATGTATTCAATTTAATATTTTGTATAACTTTTTTTTATTTTAATAACGCCACAGTAAATGCTATCAGCTCAGAATGGCGAGATTACCGTTGTAATCGTAGTTAAAACTTTCTGGGTTTTACAGGTGCTGCAGCTCCAGATTTAGTATTTTCAATTCTAACTACTGCCATATCACTACCTTTATTCACAACGATGCCTTAAAACTAATCAATCAGACCACTCCTTCGGGTACATAAGTGTTTGGGAGGTACCCGAAGGATCATTCTGATCGTGATGAAAAATAGATGTTGGCCGATGCGCAGACCTCACCGATAAGCACACACGAAAATCGGTCGAGCCATTTCGAAAGAGGTAAGCTACAAAATTTGTGACACGAGATTTTATATATTAGATATAAATGTATATGAAACATGGAAATCAGCTATTTTTAAAATGGGAATTACTGTTAAGCGGACTACCCTTGCTGTCCACTTGAACAAGATTCGTATACAGAATTGTATATGGTGCACGTCTTCATACCATGTTTAGAAGACCTAAAATACAATAAAGTAGAACTTGGCAGTGCCAGCAGTGCCATTTTCTTAGCGACGTTAATCCCAGTGAGAGGTAGATCTGAGTATAGCACACCTTGGCTATGTTGGACAAGGCCAAGCACACGAACATATCAATAAGGTAGGTAGTGTCGTATCCTGCCAAACAATGTCAGCAAGGACATCTACGAAACCCTCAGGAATCGGGCCAATTTGCAGCCCCCCACCTAAGAAATCGGTGGCTTCCAACAAACAGTGTTGCCAGTTGTAGGCATATTTGCATAACTTTCCCATGTAGGTGCATAGATGGGGGCAACTATCGGCAGGTAGAGGTCCAAGCAGGTGTCGCCAAAGATCAAGTGGCACATGAGAAAGCGCGGCACTGAAAAGGCAACGCCGCGGCGTTAGCAATAAGGTTCGAGATTAGGATACCATTATTCTGCTGCTGCTTCTGGAGTTTGTGTAATTATACCCGATACTCAAAATGAGTATTGGGGTATATTAGATTTGTGGTAAAAGTGTATGTGTGTAACGTCCAGAAGGAATCGTTTCCGACCCCATAAAGTATATATATTCTTGATCAGCATCAATAGCCGAGACGATTGAGCCATATCTGTCTGTCCGTCCGTCCGTCTGTCCGTCTGTCCGTCCGTCCGTCTGTCCGTCTGTCCGTCCGTCCGTCTGTCCGTCTGTCCGTCCCCTTCAGCGCCTAATGCTCAAAGACTATAAGAGCTAGAGCAACGATGTTTTGGATCCAGACTTCTGTGATATGTCATTGCTACAAAAATATTTCAAAACTTTGCCCCGCCCACTTCCGCCCCCACAAAGGGCGAAAATCTGTGGCATCCACAATTTTGACGATACGAGAAAACTAAAAACGCAGAATCGTAGAAGATGACTATATCTTCTAGAGTGCAAAATCTGAACCAGATTGTATAATTATTATAGCCAGAATCACGAAAACAATTTCACTCTTTCTCGCTCTGTCTCACTCTAACACACAGGTTTCATAGTCGGTTTTGCCAATTGCAAAATATGAGTTCAAGGATCTCAGAACCCATAAGAGCTAGAGCAACCAAATTTTGGTATCCACACTCTTGTGATATCGGACCTTGACCGTTTTGTGTCAAAATTTCGCCACACCCCCTTCCGCCCCCGCAAAGGACGAAAATCTGAGGCAACCACAAATCTCAGAGACTATTAAGGCTAGAGTAACCAAATTTGGTACACACACTCCTTTAAGATGTCACTATAAAACGTATATCTCAGAATTTCGCCCCACCCCCATCCGCCCCCACAAAAGACGAAAATCTGTTGCATCCACAATATTGCAGATTCGAGAAAACTAAAAACGCAGAACCATAGAGAATTACCATATCTATCCGGTTGCTGAATTTGGATCAGATCAGATAATTTTTGTAGCCAAAAGGAACAAATCAATTTGCATTGGCTACGCAGCGCCCGACGTCACGCTCAGACTGATTTTCTGTCTCTCTCGCACGCATTCTTTGTCGTGTCGTTTAATATTAGCGGCGTCTGCCGGAGGAGAGCCATACTGACTTAGTATCGGGTATAACTGTAGAGTTGCGGTGTCCGCAGCAACTCACAACGATCCCCCTCGTTTTTACCTAATCATAATCATAATAGTATTACTGTCAGCTCCACCACGTTACCCACGACCACTATCCAAACCCCATTATATCCGGCCATTAGGCGTTGTGTTTGACTACAAAGATCAGCTCGAGCTTTCGTGGACTGCGGTGTCGCAGTGCTTTCAACTGGAAGGCGCAAGCGTCGCCGCCCCCAAGTGAACGAGCGGAACTCAGCTCCAATCGAACACCTCTCTCAGTTGCAGAGGATCATCGCAGGTTTGTGGGGGGGTGGCCATGGGGTGGCACTCTACCACACAACCACTAACTCAAAAAATATACAGTAAATACGGTGACGAATTCAAATACACATATTCCTCGTTTTTGATATTCCGTCGAATATTACTAACTAGATAGAACCCTGCCTAACCCTAGATCAGCCCTGCCCACATAGTTTTATCTCATTGATGAATACATTTTCTACAAGATTAACTACTTTCAAATACTCCCATTTATTGTATTTGAACTATTTTAAAGCTGTTTTAAAACGTATTTAATAAATAAATGTTCTCAATTTGATATTTTATTCATATATGTATATATGTACATATATGTATTCCATTCTTGGTCTTTGTAAGAAGACAATAAGCTCCAACATATCGTTTAAGCAGCTTTAAAACAGAGACTGACTAGTTTCTGCACATATTGGAGCTTGAGATGACAAAGATTTTCTCAGTTCTATAATATCCTTATCTTATGGTATGCCGAATGTTAGTAAAGGATGTGAATGTGAATGTGAACGCGCCGTAAAGGAGTATGGAATGTTGGGACATTGTTGAGCTGAAAAGGGACACTGAAAATCACGTCACGGAGAGAGTACATCCCATCACGAAATATAGAGCAAATCCCAAAACAAAGAGAGCAAGTCCCACCAAACTTAAACGCCAGATATAAATTGTTTGAAAGTGAATGAGCGAAAAGCGATAAATGATGCATGTAAGTAAGATTTGAGAGCTAAACTTCAAAAAACTTGCTTGTGGAAGTTTCTATACCTTTTGTTCTTAAATATTCCTCTGAAAACTAAATGACCGTCGTTCGATATAGTGGTGATGTCTTTTTCTTCGATAGAAAATGTGCATGTAGATTGCGATGTAGATCTAATTTTAGTTAATGTAGAGTCCCATCGATAACTAATGAAAGTTACATTTAAGTTCCATGTAGAAGTGAATTTTTCACAGTGGCGCTTTCAGAGTGGATACTGTATGTTTTTCATTTAACTGTTATGTAATACTACATAACAACTACATCTTCACCATTCTGTGGTCATTTACAGTGCAATAACAGTTCGGATGAACAGCAATTCGAAAAGTTTCGGGATAGATGTACAGTAGAACTTCCATAAGTAGAACCTCTGTAATCCAAAAAATCGTGAGACTTATGGAGACTTCGACTAACAGACTTGGAGGTAATGTGTTCCCTCAACGAAGTTGCCACCAGTTTCAGTTCGAAAATATAGAAAATTCATGTTACAGTCGTTCGAGTTATGGAAGTTCAACTATAATAATTTTGTGGTGCATGTTGATGTGTATAACATCCAGAAGAAAGCGTAGTTCAAGCGTTCGCACGTTATAGTTGGTTGCTCTCCTAGACAGACGGACTGCTGATGAAGAATATTTATATCTTATGGGGTCAGAAACGTTTCCATCTGGTTGTTACACACATACACTGTCACCTCAATGCTAATGTGGAATATAAACAAAGAAAAGATGAGGAATTTTTCGAACGGAATCGATAATATCTGGAAACTTTTTGGTAGTGAGGAGACCAGACACAGGACTTCCTTTGACTTTATTCGAGAAAGTGGATATATGGATATAAGGGAATTAAGTCATAAATTGGGTACAAAGACAAAGCATTCGGGACTCGGGTTATCTGTAGGAAAAACCTAGCTTGACTTCATCAGCATATGTATATGTGGCCCCGGGTTTTCGTTAGTTATACTTTAGTCCAGGACACCAGGTTTTATTATAATTAGTCTTTACTTATGAATATTATTTAAGATTAGTTATGATTGCAATGGTCGCTGTGCTTTAACTTTACTTAGATTAATACCAATAATTGGCGTGTGTCTGGAGTGAGACTTTGGCACCGAATTAAATGGCGTCGATCGTTGAGGCTGTGTTCTCTCCTCTCTTTGTTCGACGGCCGCTTCTAGTCTCTCTCTCTGTTACTTGCTCGTTATCTCAACAGACTCTGTTGCTCTCTGTGGCTTCCTACCAAATCGCACATATATTAGACCTCTGGAACAAATTAAGACTTGGGGAAGGTCATTTAAAAAACCAATAAACTCCAAGAGACCTAGAGGGTTACCTTGAGGTACCCGGGACGAGACAAAACGCGGTTTAGAAAAAGAGGAATTAAAGAAAACACGCTGAGAACAATTGCTAAGATAGGCTTTAATACAGAAAAATAGTTTAGTCGGAAACCAAAGAAGAAAAAGTGTATGGATAAAAAGATTATGATTTACTCAGTCAAAAACTTTACTGTATAGCCTGTATATTATCTGTATAGCCTAATTCAATTTACTGGAACTTTTTAATGGGATAAGGTATGGATGGATATTGGTAGATGAAGTAAGAACAGAGGGAAAGGTTTTGAAAGGAACAGACTCGCAGACTAGTGCAGAATAAAAAGTGTCGAATTACGTTTGGAGCTAACATTCCTAAAGAATTGCTTACGGTCACTCTTAAAATTGGGCTTACATTTAGTCAAGTAATTATTATTCAATAAACAAAATCTAGTCTTGGAAATGAAAATTTTAGAAATCCGATTGCCAACCCGATCTTTTAACTTCTTACATACATATAAACGAAATTATTTATTCCGTATTCTTATTAAACACGGTTTTTATACCCGATACTCAAAATGAGTATTGGGGTATATTAGATTTGTGGTAAAAGTGGATGTGTGTAACGTCCAGAAGGAATCGTTTCCGACCCCATAAAGTATATATATTCTTGATCAGCATCAATAGCCGAGTCGATTGAGCCATGTCTGTCTGTCCGTCTGTCCGTCCGTCCGTCTGTCCGTCTGTCCGTCTGTCCGTCCCCTTCAGCGCCTAATGCTCAAAGACTATAAGAGCTAGAGCAACGATGTTTTGGATCCAGACTTCTGTGATATGTCACTGCTCCAAAAATATTTCAAAACTTTGCCCCGCCCACTTCCGCCCCCACAAAGGGCGAAAATCTGTGGCATCCACAATTTTGACGATACGAGAAAACTAAAAACGCAGAATCGTAGAAGATGACTATATCTTCTAGAGTGCAAAATCTGAACCAGATCGTATAATTATTACAGCCAGAATCACGAAAACAATTTCACTCTTTCTCGCTCTGTCTCACTCTAACACACAGGTTTCATGGTCGGTTTTGCCAATTGCAAAATATGAGTTCAAGGATCTCAGAACCTATAAAAGCCAGAGCAACCAAATTTGGTATCCACACTCCTGTGATATCGGACCTTGACCGTTTCCTGTCCAAATTTCGCCACACCCCCTTCCGCCCCCGCAAAGGACGAAAATCTGAGGCAACCACAAATCTCAGAGACTATTAAGGCTAGAGTAACCAAATTTGGTACACACACTCCTTTAAGATGTCACTATAAAACGTATATCTCAGAATTTCGCCCCCCCCCCATCCGCCCCCACAAAGGACGAAAATCTGTTGCATCCACAATATTGCAGATTTGAGAAAACTAAAAACGCAGAATCATAGATAATAACCATATCTATCAGGTTGCTGAATCTGGATCAGATCAGATCATTTTCATAGCCAAAAGGAGCAAATCAATTTGCACTGGCTACGCAGCGCCCGACGTCACGCTCAGACTGATTTTCTGTCTCTCTCGCACGCACTCTTTGTCGTGTCGTTAAATATTAGCGGCGTCTGCCGGAGGAGAGCCATACTGACTTAGTATCGGGTATAACCGTAGAGTTGCGGTGTCCGCAGCAACTCACAACGTTCCCCCTCGTTTATATGTATATTTATACGTGGGGTTTTTATTTACTTTAGGTTTAATAATTAACTTGTGTTTAATGTTTTAGGTTAAATGTATTCTTTATTTTGAGTCGTTTAGCGGCCGTCGTCGTTTTTGCGTCTTTTTTGGTACCGTCGTCGTTTTCTTTCTCTCCGTTGTCTCTTCCTTGCTCGTCGTCTTCTTAGTGATGGCATAATCGTTGTTCGTTGTTCTTTTGGTGATGGGATCATGTTGTTCGTCGTTCTTTTGGTGATGGGCTCATCGTTGCTCGTCGTCTGGGGACGACGGGCTCATTTGGGATTTTGGTACGCCAACCCACATACATATGTACATATATGTGATTCAATTTCAAACTTTTAAATCAATCTTTCTCGGAACAAGAAAATTATTTTTTCTCTAAAAGAAAAATGTGATAAATCAAAATATCTAACTCTATTAATTTAATTAATTCATATTTTGATACTTTTTTTAATATTTAGTTTTAAAAACATTACTATTTCAAGGAAATTAACGGGAACCTGATTTTGAGGAGGGTTGCTAAGCTACTATTATGATACTGTTCAAAAAGGAAAGCATTTTGTCATTTTGAGCTTAGATTTCTGTTATAACCTTGCAGACATTTTCGAAGTTTCAAAACGAAGTACCTGGAAACGTATGAGCACCAGTAACCAAACACCAGTTTTAAAAAAAACTATTTCTTTGATGATTTATGTATGTATTTATTGTATTTATATGAACTGTTATTTATTTCCCGAAAATGTTGAAAAACGGGAGCGGTGGTGGCGGTCTTGGGGGTCTTGGCAGACGTGGCGGTAAAGGCGGAGGAGGAATAGGAAAAATGCCAAGTATGGAAGCATCAGCTTCTGTTAGTGGCAAGGTAGGTCCGGGAAATATCAAGGGTGGAAGTGGAAGTCCTGGCAAGGGCAGTGCAAAGCCCGGCGGCCCAAATATCTCGTGATAATGAATGTGTTGCTCTAGATTCGGTTGAGAATTGGTTGCTGAAGTCGTGGTCTCCGTGCTTCTGTCTGATGAAGTGCTGGAAGTTGTGGTTGCCTCTTCCGTTGTTGTCGCTTCAGTGGTGGTTGTTTCTTCAATAGTTGTAGGTGCATCGGTGGTTGTTTTTTCTTCTATAGTTGTTGGTGCATCGGTGGTTGTTGTTTCTTCTATAGTTGTAGGTGCATCGGTTGTTGTTGTTTCTTCAGTAGTTGATGGTGCATCGGTGGTTGTTGTTTCTTCTATAGTTGTAGGTGTATCGGTGGTTGTTGTTTCTTCAATAGTTGTTGGTGAATCGGTGGGTGTTGTTTCTTCAGTAGTTGTAGGTGCATCGGTGGCTGTTGTTTCTTCAGTAGTTGTTGGTGCATCGGTTGTTGTTGTTTCTTCAGTAGTTGATGGTGCATCGGTGGTTGTTTTTTCGTCTAAAGTTGTGGGTGCATCGGTGGTTGTTGTTTCTTCTATAGTTGTAGGTGCATCGGTTGTTGTTGTTTCTTCAGTAGTTGTAGGTGCATCGGGGGCTGTTGTTTTTTCAGTAGTTGTTGGTGCATCGGCGGGTGTTGTTTCTTCTATAGTTGTAGGTGCATCGGTTGTTGTTGTTTCTTCAGTAGTTGTAGGTGCATCGGTGGTTGTTGTTTCTTCAATAGTTGTTGGTGAATCGGTGGGTGTTGTTTCTTCTATAGTTGTAGGTGCATCGGTTGTTGTTGTTTCTTCAGTAGTTGTTGGTGCATCGGCGGGTGTTGTTTCTTCTATAGTTGTAGGTGCATCGGTTGTTGTTGTTTCTTCAGTAGTTGTAGGTGCATCGGTTGTTGTTGTTTCTTCAGTAGTTGTTGGTGCATCGGTGGTTGTTGTTTCTTCAGTAGTTGTTGGTGCATCGGTGGTTGTTGTTTCTTCTATAGTTGTAGGTGCATCGGTGGTGGTTGTTTCTTCAGTAGTTGTAGGTGCATCGGTGGCTGTTGTTTCTTCAGTAGTTGTTGGTGCATCGGTGGTTGTTGTTTCTTCTATAGTTGTAGGTGCATCGTTGGTTGTTGATTCTTCAGTGGTTGTAGGTGCATCGGTGGTTGTTGTTTCTTCTATAGTTGTAGGTGCATCGGTTGATGTTGTTTCTTCAGTAGTTGTTGGTGCATCGGTGGTTGTTGTTTCTTCTATAGTTGTAGGTGCATCGGTTGATGTTGTGTCTTCAGTAGTTGTTGGTGCATCGGTGGTTGTTGATTCTTCAGTAGTTGTAGGTGCATCGGTGGCTGTTGTTTCTTTAGTAGTTGTTGGTGCATCGGTTGTTGTTGTTTCGTCTAAAGTTGTGGGTGCCTCGGTTGTTGTTGTTTCTTCTATAGTTGTAGGTGCTTCGGTTGTTGTCGTTTCTTCAGTAGTTGTTGGTGCATCGGTTGTTGTTGTTTCTTCTATAGTTGTAGGTGCATCGGTGGTTGTTGTTTCTTCAATAGTTGCAGTGGTTGTTTGGCACATTGGTAAATGTGGAAATATAGTGCATAAAATGGATTCTCTTTCATTTTTGGGATCTATTGTTGTTGCTTCTGCTATTGCTTCTTCTGTTGATTGAGTTCTACTGTTCGTTACCGTAAGCGCAGCCCACAGTACAAAAATAGCAAAGAAACGCCAGATCTGTAATAAGAAGTTCGTTTAGTATTAAGAGCACTTCCTGACCAGTCAGATCTTACCATCTTGGCCTCCCAAAATACACTGATGCAATGCGGCTGGGCAAACTATTTATGTACTCGCTTTCTAGATAGTTTGGTTGTGTTAATTCGAGTAAATGCACGAAAATATTTGGGAAAAGCGCCTGGTGAGGAAATCGAGATAAGAGACTTGCAGCACCTTAATTTACGTCAAGAGCATGAGGATAATGAACATATTGGGTTCAAAAGTTTGTGCACTTAGCTTCATGGGTCTGAAATGTAATTATCAAAAGAACCCACTAATGATGAAGCTTATCTTATGGTGTTCATACTCAACTTTGTTTTATCTGCGGACGTTTTACGAAAGTAGGAGGAACCCAAAGATACACATTCCTGGGGAAACTTGAGTAAATGCAGAAGTTTCATAGTATACCGGAATAGCCTACTGTCAACCAAAGTGCTGTCATTCGTTTTCGTAGATTGCCCCCTTAATCCCGCGCAGGTAACAGAGAGGAAATGGAAATGTCGAGAAAATGCTCTAAGTAAACACAGTAAACTTATTATTGTATAACTTGAAGGTCTTGAAAATCAATTGGGAAACTATAAAAAATCTTTTTTTCTGTCGCTGCAGTCTTATTTTTACGATGTGCATGAAGGCATTTTCTGCTTCTTGTCAAGGAGAAATTGTAAGCTCGGAATCAACTACCGCTGAAAAGGCGGTACAAGGCTACGAGTACAAGGAGTACGAGTAAATGTATTATCATCAGAAAATAAGACTATTGCCTCTCTTAACCAGAATTTTCAAAGCGGTGTAGAACAAACAAAATAAATATCTGTTTTAAATTAAATAAATATTTCTTTTATGATTTATTTTTTACATTTTTGTAATTTTTTTTTTGTAAATCACCCATTTTTTTATATTTATGCATATACCATTTCATCATATTGCTTTCAACGATTATCTTTCAAAGAAAAACGCAAATATGTTTTGATGGAAAGAGTGTTTGCAATGTCAGTGGAAAGCAACGAAGGAAAATATTGTGAAACAGATCTAACATTTTATTTTTAAATAAAACGATCATTGGTTTTAACATGGCGACCGTCCAACAGCCTTTGTATCCGTCATGCAACATAAGATAGTCTTTGATGCTACTTACTTTTACATCTGAAAAATACTCTTGAATACTCTGCTCAATAATTTGATTATACGAAAAGAGTATACTTAACTATATTTTGTTTATTTTACATAATTTTGTAAATTAATTTGCATTTAATGTAATGCCAAAATAATAAATTAGATATGAACTTAGATTAGATCCCATTCTTTTTCCATACTCTTGGTTTTTTACACATTTCTTCTCTTAAATTGAACTATTTGTAATGACTGTTTGATGAAGGCGAAAAAGATACAATACAGGAAAGTTGATGAAAGCACCAAATCTTTGTGTACATCTCTGTCTAATTGCGGATTTGCACCTGTTTTCGAAAGACGGCAATTTGTTTCGGCCCTCCCAAGGCGTTGGCAAGATTTCACTAACAATTTTGGATGTGGTTGATGAAGACTCCTTCTCCTCCTCGCTTAATCTAACTCTTAAGGCTACACGAAAAACTGCGATAACAAGGCCGATATAATCTCCTCAGACAGCTTTTAATCTCTTCACGAAAGAACGCCGTCCAAGGCATGGATCACTCCATTGGTGGCAGGGATGTTGGATGTGACCATCTGGGCATCATTCACCTTGATCTTTCCAGCAGAGGTCTTCTGCAGAATCACGGTCTTGCCCGTGTACAGCGAGTCCTTAACCTGGTAGAAACGCATACCAGCGGAGAAGAGAGCTCCAGGTACTATGTGCTTCATGGCAAACTGCTCGGCGGCTTCCTTATCATTGTATAGCTTCTCCAGCGTGTCCGAGTCCAGTTCACTGAAGCTCTTGTCCACTGGGGCAAAAACAGTGTACGTTTTTACACCTAACATTAAGGATGATATTCAATGCCAATTAGAGAGCAAATTTAATTAAGTCAATCCATTCCCTACCCTTGCTCTGCAGCTTCTCGGACAGTCCAGAGGTGTAAAGAATTTTGAGGAAGTTGCTAAAGCGACCCTCGCGATCGGATTGCAGAGTCTGCAGAAGATCTCCTACGGGCAGTGGGAACATGACACGATCCACGGCATGGGCCACTCCCTGAGGGATCTTGATGTCCTTCTTATTCAGCACAACCATGGCTCCATTGATGGTAGTGAGCTGCATTGGGAGATGTGATTGTTAAAGCTAACCAGCCTAGGGAAAGATTGTTGGGTTTTCTTACAGTGACATCGTTCCACTCCTGGTCGTGCATATTGTACTGATTGACACGGAGCTGGGTTCCAGCCAGGGACACGCCCGTCATCTCGTCTTGCAACGTGGCAATTTCAAAGGCTCCAGGGATCACGTGGTGAAGTAATAACTACAAAAGAGCATATGAGTAACTTGCATGGGCATGAAGTGCACACACTTACCCCACTCAGCAGTCTTGGATTGGACTGGAACTTCTCCTCTGCGCGCTCGGGTCCACCCAATTGTACCAGGAGATTTTTGAAGGCCTTGTCAGTGGGCACAAATATGGTGTAGGGTCCTGTCTCATTAAGAATGCTATCCAATCCCGACTGGCGGAGGTACTTGGCCATAGCAAAGAGCCCATTCGACTTCAATATCTGCAGCAAATCCTCGCTCGGATTGGACAGAACGGAGGTAACACCCGGACCAGCCTGGGCTGCCTTCTCTGTATTCTCGGTTTCCTGGACAAGAGCGTCAGCATACTGAGGCGCAGGTGGCAGCAGCTCCGGTGTGTGGGCTAGATCCGAGAGACGTTCGGTAACCACTGGCAGGTGGGTGGAGACAGAGACTCCTCCCAGGTACGAAGAGGCTGTCACCGGCGAAGAGCTATACACTGGAGCGGGCGTGGTGCGGATCAGGCTCGCAGCTGCCGCGTTGGAGGTGCTGCTTTCATAGATGGGGCTGTAGCGAGGAGTGTAGGGCGGACTAGTCGTTGTGCTGGTGGTCGATGTCCGGGAGGGATGATACTGACGATGATTGCTGGGCGTGCCGCGAGAAACAAATGGAGCTGGTGTGGTCGTTGTGGTGGTTGTTGTGCTACTGGTCGTTGTCAGTGGGGCCCGGGTGGTCTGGATGATCTTTCCGCTTTTGATCTCCACGAGCTCATCGTTGGGAAGGGTCAGACGGGACACAGAAGGGGGCAGCTTGATCTCACCATTCCTGATCCTCTCCAGAATGCTCTCGACTTCCGCGCCAGTCTGCTTGGTTTCCTTCTCGCCATTGGCCTTCACTCCCTGGATCTTGAAGCTGCCATCGGCCTGTTCTTCGAGGTACACGTAGGTGGCCTTCTTCTTGGCCGGTACCGCCGGTGCTGGCGTTGCCTGTGTCTCGGACTTTGGGCTTAGACCCTCGATCTCATAGCCATCGGGAATAAGTCCACGCTTGGCCAGCTCTTCCAGGGAGGGTGGTTCATCCGAATCTGAAGTGATGACGGCCGAGCTGGCGATGCTGTTGGCTCCACTGCTAATGCCCTGTATGTCGCCGGCTCCACCACCATATAGAGCTGCCAGGCTGGACAGATCTACACCTCCCGGCAGCGATCCGGTTGGGAGGGTGTCGGACTCCTGGGGATCTGGGGACCGCAGGATTTGCACTTTACCACCACCGGGCAGTTCCAGGTCCTTACTCTTGCTGGGAGCCACATCGCTGAGGCTCAACTTGGCCTCTGATCCCAGCGCTTGTTGGGCCAGCAGGGTCTGCAGCTGCTCCTGGGAATAAGCTTTCTGACCCTGCACAAGGTTGGGATCCGTGGTGCGTATCACCTGGACTCTCTGGCCATTGGGCAGCAGAAGATCCATTTCGTCGTAGGTCTTGTTGCCAGTCAAGGGCTGCTGCGGGGCTTCTGAGAGGGCTGCCTTCAGCTGCTTCAATAGATCATCCCGGGCAAAGGTCTTGACAGGCTTCTTGCCAGCGCCCTTCTGGCTGGGATACTTTCCGAGCTCCGACTTGACCTGGGCATAGATGTTCTTCTTGGGCGTGGTGGTGGCCTCAGTGGTGGTTGTCGTTGTCGTGGTCGTCGTCGTGGTTGGGTGCTCCTTGTAGTACTGCTGTAGGGCGCTGTTGAACTGGTTGTAATCGGTGGGATGGGCCACCGGGCGTCCACGTGGCGGTCCTACGCCATAGGGCGAGTGCTGGTAGTTTCCATTATGCTGGGTGATGATCGTCGGCAGGATGTGCTGCTTAATCTGGTGCTGCTTAACCAGGAACTCCTCATGCTGCTGGCGCACCTTGTGCTGTGACTTCTCGTACTGCTTGGCCACAAACTGCTCGTGTTTCTGGATGAGCTTCTGCTTGTACTCCTGATCTGCTGGCTGGTGCTGAGCGGGAGCATTCACAAATTGGTGCTGGAATTGCTGACCTTGGGGTTGCTGTTGCTGCTGCTGCTGCTGCTGCTGCTGCTGCTGCTGGAAAGCTTCTCTCGTGGGCTGCGCTGGAAAGGGTGTGGACTGCAAAGTGCTGAAGAGTGGAGGCACAGGCAGACCCAGCTGGGGTGTCAATTGGTACTGCGGAAGGGCTGGCTGAGGCTGATAGTTGAATTGGCCATGCTGCTGTTGCTGCTGTTGCTGGTGCTGGATGGGATGCGGAGTCTGTTGTGGAATAGTCTGGAAGGTGGGCACAGGCGCCTGGCTGGGCAACTTCTGTGTGGTCTGAGGCAAAACTTGAGATCCGAATTGCTGGGGCTGCTGGTAGGAAAACTGCTGCTGGGTTTGCTGTTGCTGGTAGGTTTCCCTCGAGGGTTGTGGTGGGAAAGCGGTCGACTGCAAGCGGGAGTCTGAAAGATAGAGCATAAATTCCGTCAAGAATTAACTAGGGATGACCACAAAACTACCTTGTAGGTGCCTTCTACAATGGTTGCGTTCACGTTTGCGTCCAAAGGTTACCAATGAATACTGATACATCAGATGGGATGTACCCTGAGGATGACTGCAAGAAGAGTGTTCAGCCACTGCGTTGTATTTGCTTTGCTTTAATATTGGAATAATCGAATTCCAGCCGAAATGAGTTATACTTGAGGTAAGCAACCTCAGATGTTTGGACGCTAACGTGTACGCTGATTTTACTATATTTTTACTTTATTCGACAGAAAGATTCAGGATAGTGGATGCCAGATATTACCAAATTGCTTGTGGCGTTGGGGCAACTGTTGTTGCTGTTGCTGCTGTTGATGGGGGTGCTGTTGCTGCTGGGAGCCTGCGTAGTTACGCAAGTCCAAGAAGTTCTGATGATGCAGATCCAGATTGCTGGAAGCCGAGGGCAGCTGCTGCTGCGTCTGTTGTTGTTGATGCTGCTGCTGAGGGAATTGAGGAGCCGTTTGCAGCTGGCTTTGGGTGGACCGTTGGAACTGCTGATTGCCGTGGGGTTGCTGCTGGGTGGGCGCCAGCGGCTGCTGCTGCTGCTGCTGGTGCTGTGGGAACTGGCCGAAACGATGCTGCTGCGGTGCCTGGTGGTGCAGATGGGTGTGTTGCGCCTGCTGCTGCTGGCGGTGGGGAATGGGCAGCTCGACGCCTGCCTGGACAAAGTTTTGCTGATTGTACTGCTGCAGATTCAGCTGGCGACGATGCGAGTTGTGAAAGGGCTGCAATGAGAGCAAGAGACGGCAAAACATGAGATTACTCGTACAACTTTCCATCACCATTGCATCATCGTGCATTGCAGAAAACCAGCTTCAGATCCATCATCAGCGTGTTTCACCTTCGCTGGCATGAAATGAAAACTGACACAGAAAAAAGAAAAAACCCCTCGACTCGCCCCAAAATAGACATGAACCAGTTTCAAGCGGCGGTAACAGCTATCTCTGCTGCTGCTCCATTTTCGATGCCAAAAACGAGATAATGCGTATTGGGATTGGTTGGAGGCTAATGCTCTGGGGTCCTTTATGGAGGCCAGTCGGTCAAGTTGAAGTCCACAAAAGTGGCACGGTGGCGGAACTTGCTTGCACAGAGATGACGTAATGATAGATCACAAATCAGGTTGACCTTAATATACGTTTTTATCGCTAGTTTAAAAGATAAATCGCTTTGAATTTGTCCTAATATGAACGTTTTTTTACCCGCAAATCAACTCTTTCCTATTTCCATTGTCTGGCATCTCCAATTGGCATTAGCGAAAGCTTCTCCCATGGAGCAATCGCTTATACAATCTCTCAGGCAAGCACACCCCTTGAACAGCCTGTCATACTTATACTGCGTATACGCATTGCGCTTGGCCAAGTCGGACATCGGGCATCGACCAGAAGTTGTACAACAATGATTATCCAACACAGTTCCAAGAGAGTTCCGGAGAAGCAGAAGATGAAGCCGAGACGCGACTAGATGCTGCACAGCGGCAGGCTTAGATCTTGTTTGTTTCTCTGTTTGGTTTATGGCTAAAGTGCTGTATGTACAAATTAATTGCCCGGCTCATAAATCTTATTTTTTGCTGGGCTCCGTCTCCGTCGATGCGAGATTGAGGCGTTATCAGGCTCTCCCCAGACCATCCACAGCTCTTTCTTTTCGCATGGTAATTATGTTGTTGCGGCTAATGCCGAGCCTCATCATGCCGCTGCTGATGGCTCAGCAGATGTTGTGCATGATGATGAATCTGTCAGTGGGACGGCGTTTGATTATGCAACCTAATCGGGGAAAAGTTCAATGTGTTTGGTGGAGGAAACAGGTGAACAAGAGGGTTTGGCTCTGACATGGTAAACATCTCTCAATTGGGAAAACATTTCGTTCAACAACAGTTGGAAACAACTGGCCAGCAAGTATTTTCTTTCGCACCACTGTCCTCGTGGCTTATCTCATCCAACCTTCGTTGGCAAGTTTTTCAGCTCGTACAATGGCTTGTCATGCATCTGTATCATCAATTTGGGTTTTTCTGAAATCACAATTTTCTTTCTCTTGAAACATGACTTTTCTCTACAAATTGCTCGTCTGGTGAAAACCTCAATCAATCATCAATCAACTGCCAATGGCGCTGCGAAGGCAGTCAACATCCCAGCCCCAAAGCCACTGAACCCTGTCTTCATAGGGTTTGTCATATTCATTTTCCCTTTCTTTCAATCCCAGCCTCCTCTTGTGGGTCCGCCTGTGTTCGACATGTCAATTTCATGGTTTAGCGTGCTCATTCAACATTTTCACGGCACTTGTGCTCGTATGCAAAACGCTTTCGTTTTTAAATGCCAGTGCGAGCCACCAATCAATGACCAGCTAATGCGCTGCGCATGCGCAGTGTAGCTCTTCGGCAGACCGGCAGACCGGCAGTCGGCAGGTTTTGTGGTTGTCGCTGTCACCAAATGCCACCACAGCCCACGCCTCACTGATGCCTCACTGTTCACTACTGTGGTTGAATGTGTCAAGTGATTGACAACTCGAGTGTTGGCGTTGTAAAATCTGAGTGTCAGATATCAAAAGATAGTATCCTAACATTGGACTGGGCAAAACTATTAATCATAATAGCCTAAATTTATTGTATATTTCGGGATTGGTCTTCGAAGGGGTTTCCCACGATCCAATGGGACAAGTCTCATTGATAAGACAATTTTTGCAATTCTGAATGCAGTTTTCAAGTGTTTGGCACACAACCACCTTCTCTTCTCAAAACTTACATTACAATCCGTGGAATGCCAAAAATTGATTAACAGCTCATATTTTTCTTTGGATGTACGAAGAAAGTTCCCAAGATGCAGCTAAAAGGGGTTTGGTCAGCAGTCAGTTAGCCGTCTACAAACTCTATTTCATGTCAGATAAGTTTTCATTAGAGGGCCGTCAAGTCAAATGGGCATTATGCTAATGAGAGAAGATACGGCGTGAGATTGCCGGCATCAGGTAGAAGAGGTAGTGATAGCAAACCAGTTCGAAGATAGATCCCGCCGAAAGCAACAGTTTTCACGAGTTTGATGGGGCGTTGTGATCCGTGATGTATCTGTCAGTTACGTGACTCGAACTCCCAGCTAATTTGTTAATAATTCATAATTGATTTCACATAGCACATCGGGTTCCATGTATTACGAGAGACTGCCCCGTCTGGATGGGATACAAAATGAAAGCGAATTTGGAAATTTTTTTTCGTTTTCAGTCTCGGTCTTGGTTTTGTTTTCGGTTTCGTTTCGCAGTGAAAGTGATTTGTTAGACATTTAGCCAGCAGCTAAGTTGTGTATGCTAATTAGAATTTAATAGTTGAAATCAGAAGATCTGCCACACGCGCCCCAAGAGATGTTTTGCTTACTTAAGAGCTACCCCAAAGCCGATGCCACAAATTCTTCAAGTCCCCAGTTGCGCAACGGTTCGCGGCCTCTTAAAACTTGCAGGTTTTCCAGTTTTTTCGGTCGTGTCGATGGCCAATGGCATCCGATTTGGCCCCGTTTTCCCCATTGCCTTTCGGATTTCCTGCCTGCCCCGCATGCACAAGCAGCATTTGCTTCTACGTCTTGCACTACATTTTGGTTTATAGAGTTTTTCCCCTGGCTGTTTGTGTTGCATATTTTTTGTCTTCTTTGAGAATTTTGGTGGTTTGTGAAGTTTCAAGGTTGTTTTTAGTGAGTCGGCTCTGAAGATCTGAGGATCTCTTTGGAGGCGCTTGCAGGCATGTTGTGCAACTTGTGTTCTGGCCATAAAAAGAGGTGCACATGTCAGATGTCAGTTTTGGCATCAATTCCAACTGTTCGCTAATGGGGCACTAAAAAGAGTACTCTACTCATGTGCAGTTGTGGGAAACGAAGCTGCTCTTGTATTTATAGATTCAACTATTTTGTTTGCCATCAGTTTGGACAAGGGGGCCAATTATAACGTACTTTTTATGGTGACAATTGTTCGCGGTGTATTCGAAAAATAAGAATCTACTTTATCCTTAGTGATTTCCCCAGCAGATGCTCTATCAATAGCTATCAGTAAACTGTTGTTCAAATAATATCAGTCCTCTGTCACATTTCAACATCTAAGTAGGCAATCGTTTCCCAAATCTAGGCCAGATCGTTTCCAAAATTGATTTATTGTTGTGCTGCAATCGGCACTTAACGGCTCATTAAATTGTCTTGCTTATCATCGCAGGGCATCATCTCAATCTAAGTCAAATCAGCTAGATCGTGCTCACATCATTTCAACATCGGCTTCAGCCTCTCATCGATCCCATCTGAATACAGTTCAGAACTGACTGTGCAATATGGGCATGGGTCCACAGTGCACCGTCCAGAGTCCACAGCTTCGGTCTTCTAGCAACTGCCAGAACTGGTTAGCCCCTCGACAGTGTCTGTTGACAGTTTCCACACGGCATAAAATGTGCATAATAAGCACGAGTTGATGGCATTTGATGGCTTAGTTTTTTGAGAGTTGCTGCCTCGTTTCGGGTTCCATTCAGACTGTTGGTCAATCCGAAAATTTGGCAATTCCCTTTCACTTTTCCCGACAATCGACAAATGCCTGCAGTTGGCTCAGAGATGCCCCGAAAAAGAAACAAATATTTTTGTGGATTTCCTAAAGGAATTTTAATTGCCAACAAAATTGTTGGCGGCTAAGCAAATAAGTAATTAATTTACGGCCGAACAAAAGAATGCCCAGCAACAAAAGCCCCAGAAAAAGCAGCAGCAGCAACAGCAACAGGAAAAAGTGAAATTTACATAAAATTGTGTAATTAACTGAGGTAAGTTAGAAATTGCCTCAAGCGAGGCTTTGGCCAACACCTACAACTATGGTATAGTGTGTATCCACTGGCCGCATGAACGCGAAAGAAGCCACCCGGCAGCAACAATGAAAGGTTCCAAGCAAATGCCGCCAGCACCACAAAATAAAGGCAGAAACAAGCACAAATGTTATTTAACAATCGCTTTGCACAAACAAGAAGGGGCCAAAAGAAACTTGGTCAGCTCCCCGTACTCGAACTCGCACTCGCACTCGCACTCGTACTCCTCGCTTATACTGGAGATGCTATCGCTGCCCCAACTACTCACAAGTACTCACTGCCCCTACTCACAAGAGAGGGAAACTGCTTGTAAAACTGTTTATAAATTAGCGCGATTTGTCTGCCAGACCCCGAAATTGTTCGAGTATGAGATTGTGTGTGATTGTGAATGCTATTTTGGTCATTTTAAAGCTTTAAGATCTCAGATACTTGACAATTGAGGGCTAATAAAATAGTTATGTTGTATAATGTTCTTGGCTGGAAGAACTGGAAGGAACTCAAATGGAATCTTGTAGAAGATGGCGTTATAAAATTATTATTGATGTGATATAAAATGGTTTTTAAATTGAGTACAAAAATTAACACGACTTGAAAGTATATATTTTCAGACCCACGAGTGTGCATTTCTGATAGAAATGCATTCGGTCTGGTATTCTAAAATAGTGCTTAAAATGATTTAAGGATGGGAGCCTACAAATTGCACAGAGAACTTGGTTCGAGTCTTGTGGAAACTTGTTTAATCATTGCCATATTTCTTGTTTCCCAACGTGTGCCACCGTTAGATCCTCCGCCAACAGTGCCATTCGCAGTTAATTGCATCTCTTGCATCCACAAATCTGCGCCAAGATTGCATAATCACCTGCAAATCCAACAAAGTTGAGAGTTAATGCCATTTCGACTGTTTTCTCGCCTCAAAGTCGA